TAACTGGAGAGTGAAACCACCTCTCAGCAGAATTTTAATTGCCTGTTTAGAGAGCTCATAGTGTAGAAGTTAGGACTAAATTGGGATTAATTCAGATATAAAACATGTACATTGCATGAACTGCAGAGATATCCAAAATTGAATTTAAAATGACAGAGCGATGCAATCAATATTATGAATGTACGGAACAGAAACAAGCATAAAACATACTTGAATATGCGTATGAGTGTTGCTGTTCTGTAATAAAAATGTACACAACCTTTTTATCCCAAAAAAAAAGTTAAAATAAAAAGGAAATAAAAAATCATGTAATAAAACAGTAAAGCTTTAAACCTTTCAGAACATAGTCAAATAGCCACACACAGGGCATTTTCACACCATGGGTATAGTCCAGGGATCTATCCAGAGAATGTTGAAGTAAGAAAATTTACACCTTCAGTCGGCCCAGTTTGCTTTGACAAAGAGGTTTTCAGACTTCCCCAGAAGACATTAAGCAGTTGCACCAGATTGTCAGGAGACGTTATTGCTCAAGTATTGGACTGGACACATTTGGCTTTTAGTGGCAGAGGGAACAGTTCAATGATGCTTGTCTACCTGGGTCAAACGACTTGGCAAGCAACCCCTGTTAAAATTGCCTTCAAACGGCTCTGCCCAGATCAGCATTCAGTGGGAACATCAGACCTAGGTCGACCCACTAAATTATATGATGCCATTGAGTGCAACGTATGGATGTCAACACACTGTGGCCATCACGTCTGGTCTTACAAGCCGTAACGATTCTGTTTACATCTGATAAACATGAAGCAGCACTGGTAGGAGGGGTTTGGACAAATAAAAGAGCAAAATAATGAGGCACACTTACTACGTCCTGGCTTCCTTACATGTTGCTGTACATTGTTTACTTTCCTGATTTCCGCCACACTGGTGACATCATCAACGCTAACCCAGCATGGTGGTGTCAGTCAATTCTATCTTCACCACAACATTCCTGTATGAGGTTCTGGTTCCACCTTGCTGGAAGATGTTGCATGCCTTGATCTTATGTGTATCGTAAAGGGCTTTTTGAACCGCTCTGGATATGACTCCTTAACTAAAGCATGTTTGCCTTGGGAGACCCTACCAGGATAATTCTAGAAAAATAATTATAGGAAGGGAGGCTGATCTGGAGCTAAAATTGTGAATTGTAATATAAAATTTTCTGCATAACTAAATGTTGTGGTGCTGCGTTATTTACATGCTTTTCATAGATTCATGCTTTTATCAGAAGATTAAAGATTTACGAGATTAAGATTAGAGATAGTTTTATTAAGGTGGGTGGGTTTTAAATTGTGTTTGGGCTGGAATCATCCAGCAACCCTGTCAAGTTAATGAGGTATTCTAGGAAAAACTATTTCATATCTTACCTCTTACAAGTATAAATGAGATTAGTTTGACTAATTAAATTTGGACCTAATAAGAACTATGTTCCTTTCTCTAACTAATGATTTTTTTTATTTAATTTTTTTTTTACAAAATCCCCACAGGTTAGCTTTATTATCAGTAAGCATTGCTACTTTCAAATGAGATTTCAAAGAACACAAAAAATGTTTTTGATCCTGGGAGTGGGCATCCATCAAGAAATTTAATCCCATGGATAAGTAATATATTTATTTTCAAAGCTCATGTACATTAATTTTAATATTATTAAGTAAATGAATAAATTAATTTGGAACTATAATGGCATATTGAAACATTAACTGCTGTAAGTACTAATTTCACAAGTGGTATGATTTATAATTACCGTATGCTATTTTACTAAGTACTTAAGTAGCCTTGAGTAATTTCTGTGTTGGGTTCTTTTCATTGTTACTTAATAAAAAGTGTGTTGAAGTAGTGATACTCTTACTGGACTATAATTGTTGGCTATTCTACCCACTTCTGGTGACAATATTTTAATATTTATCATCTGAACAAACCCACAGAAAAATCATTCAGCAGACAGAAAAACAGTCTTCAAAATCATAGTTCTCAGACCTAAAGGACATAAAGAGAGAAACCAATTGGATTGACTGACTCTGGATAATATAAAATGGAATTGAAAAAGGTCAAAGATCCCTCTCTCTGTCTTCTATAGCCTTAGAAAAATGTTATAGGAGAAAATAGCTGTACTATTGGCAATATAATTTTTTTTCACAAAGATATAACAGCACATCTATTAATAACTGGGCTAACGAAATAAGGAGAAAAGCACTTTTTCTTAAAAAAGGAAAGTGATTTTTCCACTAGATATATAGGTTTTAAATAAATATAAAATATTGTGTTATTTGTAAGAATATGCTAAAAGACAAAATAGTTTTACTGTACATGTTTTTATGTATTTTACTAAGCATGCCAAGAGTTTTTTCACATGGGCTTTGTGTTTCATATACAGGCTGTTTTCAAGCTGCTAGTCATCCAGGAGTAAGGGAGTAAAGGCATTCAGAAAAAAAAAATCCTAACTACAAAAGTCCTTGATCTGTAAATTGAAGAGCATTGATTATTATTAAACAAAACCATTTTTTAAATAAAACTGAAATTTGTATTATGTTAACAAAATAATACTTAAAAATAGATGGAAAATGTATACTGAACTATAATTATAATTAAATACATATATTTTGATTTAAATAAAGAAACTTTAGAAGCTGATAATCTAATGTCATTACAAAGACACTTTTCAACAAAAAAACATCCAATTTCAAATCCTTCCTCCCTTTAAGATGTATTTTCATGTCCACATACATATAAAATCAGAAAACTAACACATATAGCATTGACTCTTCCACATCTCAGGTCAAATGGGAGCTTGTTGTTACCGAATATTTCATCTAAATGTGCAAAAAGCCAAGTAGACGTCAAACTGCTGTACACGCTCACCGCTCCGTTGTCTTTTCACATTTCTGGCTTTCAGCACTTGCATCAGTCAAAAAGCAAATACATTCTGTCAGCCACAGTGATCAGTGACATTTCAGACAAAAACATCCTTAGCATATAATTAGAGAGCAGTGAAAACTAATTGATGCTGTCGACATAAAACCAGTGACCACAGAGACATGTGACATCGTATGTGAAATGAAATAATCAGTTATGCTCAAGCAGCTGTCTCAAAAGCAGCAGTTAGGACAAAGAAAAGCAAACAATAAAGAGGGATTTATTTACTGTGGATATCTAAATAATTCAGGCATGCACAGAGTTAGCTCACAGAGAAGATATAACCTTTAGATCATAATGCTGTATCATCCATAATTACAGTGACTGTTATTCACTAGTGAGCTGCCAAAGTTATATCAACAATTAACATTTATTTTTAATCTGATCCCACTTGATAACACCTGAATGCAAAGTGACTAAATGTAATTAACCAAACAGATCACAATAAGGAAACAGGATCAATGGAAAATATATAATGTACTTCTTACATTTGTTCAATGAGTCTTGTTATTTGACAATTACAAAGAGCAATTAAGCAGGTTAGAGGTTTAATGTCCAACACACTTTTCAGGTATAAGGATCCCCCTCTGAATTCTAATTTACTTTACACTGTCTGTTTAGGAGACCTTAATCAATAAAGTATCCTAATTAACCTTCACTTCCCCACCTTCTCTTGGTAGACTTGCTCCATAATGCTTAATGCTTGCAAGCCCTGCAAAGTCAGGTGTGAATGCATTAGTTTTTCCTAATAAAAATAAAATTGTAAATATTTTGACCCAACAAATACATAGTTAAGCATATTTTTGCACCTTACCTTTAAATTTAAAAAGCTTTAATAATTTTATGTCTACAGGACCCTTCATTCAAATTTAATAGAATTTTCATTTTAAATAAATTAATATAAAAACATAAATATCCATGGTCTGTGTTAACTGTAAAGTATTTATGAAAGGTATCTACTGAGAGGTAACTCAGACGTTATAAGCTCTCAAGGACCCATGTCATGCATGTTTTTGGTAATGGTTCTGTTCCAGCAAATCTAATCTAAATGATTGCTCCTCCTCTGCATGCTATCAAGTTCTGCAGAAGCCTGTAAATCACCCTTTTATTAAAGTCCTTTGTGTGGCAGCAGAAGACAGCTATAACATGTAGGTCAGGGGTCCCAGAGGAGCATGGTTGGGAATCTCTGAACAAGCCGCTACCCTAAAGCATTATGTTGGTTCACTTCTGCCTCCTTCTCTTTGTTACAAACAAAACCTTTAATGTAGAGACCAACAAACACGAGGTAGCACATATAATGAAGTGGAAGGAAGGTTTTAAACAATTGAAAATATGAAACTGTAAATAAAAAAAGTAATCATTTGCATTTAGCTCACCTTACTTTGATATATCTAGATAACATTTGTTGCCTTAAGGAGGTACCTAACAAGTACATAGAGTCCGCCTGCATGTACTTTGGTGACAAAATACTCAGTTGTGGCTCTGTTCAATGCAGTCATATGAAGCAGAGTTGTTTTGATTAGTAGATTATACTGCCAGTAATTGGCTAAAATTCACCTTTGAATATTAAACTTCAGATTTCCTTTTTTGATATCTGTTTTACTTTTTAAGGACTACAACTTTATATTAGGTAAAAATGTTATTAAAGAATAAATACAGACAAACTTGCGAACAGGGGTATTTTAAAAGAACTGAAATTTCATTTTTGAAGGCAAAGGAAAATAATGTAATCGAAGGTAAATCCATACATCTATAATTTATAAATCCATTAAAAGGTGGTTGATTCAGTTGGGCTGAATGCAAAAAACTTTACAGTTTTGAATGATTGACAAGAATTTTTATTTGATAGATTAATCTTGTGTTAATCTATCAAATACAAATTTTATGGTTAGAAATAAACATGTTGTGGATGTAAAATGATAGAATGTAAATTAGCTTGTAATATTCTGCGAAGAATAATATAAGCTGATATTCTTGTCACAATTAAAATACTTGAAGGGTCAGCAGTAGATGGAGTCAGGGTGTGTCAGATTATTGATATTACTACTTACTTAGAGACAAGGGAGAAGGCTTCAGCGCACACTGCTGGACATGGCACCAGTTTGATCATCACATGCTCCTCGGCGGCCTGGAAATGTGCATGCGTCACTTTCTCCAGCACTGAGGCCAGAGTGGCCACATCACCAGCCTTTGTGCTGGGGTCTCCACCTGCTGTGTCTAAGATATTTCCTCCATGCACCACCAGCAGCAGCACATGGGTTTTACATTTTCTCTACAACAGAAGAATGAATAGAAAAAAAGATATTTTAGAGAAAATAATCAAAAAGGGAAATTAACCAAGAAGGCACAGGATGACAAATACCCAGACTCCCACCTCTGTATCCTCCAGTCCTTCAATGCTGCTCTGAGGGGCACAGCGAGGACCTCCAAGCTGGTACAGACCCTCTGAATTAGATGAGTAAAGAAAAGAAACAGGAGGTGGTGAGGCGAAAGGAGGAAACAAAGAGAGAAAAGAGGTAAAAACAGGGTCACCTCAGGAGCAACTTCACCCAGACAAACCAATAACGGTAGCATAAATGGATATTGATCAGTGAATAGAGTCAATATTACTAATGCCCCTTCATTTCTCTTCATTCTCGCTCCAACCTGCAGGCTGCCTGTATGTAACCGCAAGCTCAAATGAAAAAAACTGAGATTCAATGGGTTTAAGCTGTAGACAGCAGGAGCCTGATTGTTTTCTCTGCTGTAGCATCTATTACTATCAAGAGTCATTACTTTTAAGCTTCTTTGATGCTACAAAAGCAACAGAGTTATTGTTCAGAAGAAAGTGATCTTTAATGAGAAACAGGGCCATCTTTCTTTCTCTGATGGTGGCATTTTGCAGGAATTTTAGCCAAACTCAGTTGCTTAACTAAAAAAACCCTGTATGCTGTGTCATTGTACTCTTGAGGTTTCTCCCTCTCTTTCATCTCCCTTTCTATTTTCTCTCTCCAGGATTAAGGCACGCCTCTGTGCTCTGCTCATTGGCTAGTTGTTTATTTGGCCTCCTTGTCTGGGACCGACTGTCATGGGAGGCTCTCACAGCCTCGTTCGGTGTCATCTCCCTTCTTCTATTCCCAGCCTGCCCGTCTCTTCCCTCCTCAACTGCCTGCTTGTCTGGAACAGAAAAGCTTGCACAAGGGACCAGCACACTGCTCTATTTTTGATCCCAAAGTCACAGGAAATTAATGCAGGTTTCTGCAAGTTTCTTATTTTTTGTGGTTGTTGTTTCACTTTTGAGAAATACTGTTGGGATGTTTGGCAAAAAACATTTAACAAGAATGTGCCAATCTAGTTCACTCTATTAGATAATCAAATGTTAATGGTTAGTGGTTAATGCATAGAGCTTAGAATCCTGAGGTTCTGAGTAGGAGCCCCAGTCCCACAGACTGCCACTTTGGGTCTCTGAGCAAAGACTCCATACTGCTCCGAGGCATTGCATGATGGCAGTCCACTGCTCCCCAAGGGGATGGGTTAGATGCAGAAGCACATTTCTCCAATGTGAGATCAATCAAGTTCAAAGTTCAATTAATTAATTAATTCATACTTAGGGATACCAAAAAAATTGAACCGGATGAACGGGTCAGCCCCTTAGGCATGGACAGTCGTTTGGGATTAGGGATAAAAGTGGTTTTAAATTTCCTTTTCGTTCTGGTCTATATCTAAAACTCTATCTCTAATTTTGGCTATTGTAAAAGCATCAGTTTGGGGAAAAAAATCAAAGAAAGCTTTGCATTAGAGGTTGCAGTGCACTAGAAAAACCTCTTCTTTCCAGTGTGGGCAGCAATATTATGCCAAACCTTGAGTGTACACATCAAAATTGAGGTATTTCTGACACCCAGTGGAAGTTCGGCTAACTCAATAGATAACAGACCAAGAAGAGAAAGAGGGTCACAGCACCAAGTATCTACAGGTGGCTCACCTAGATGTAAAAAAAAATGTAACCATCCTGAAATTATCCATACATGGCAAACCCAGTAATAATAAAGAAGGTTAGGAAGAGCCTGACCCCCTTCATCTAAAGGTAATTGTAAAATCCCTAATTTTAGCCTAGACTTCTTTCCATGCCATATACATTTAGAGAAACATCCTTCAATATCTGAAAATGTTTTTCTGGTGATTCTAAGAGGCAGCATTTGCATAGGATATAATATTCTAGGAAGAACATTCATTTTAATCAAACTTATTCTACCCATCCAAGATAATGGAAGGTCAAACCACCGATTAAGGTCATTTTTAATTGAGGCCACAACTGACTTAAAATTTAACTTGTATAGCTCTTTTATGTCCGAAGACACCCTGATACCCAGATATGTAAAACCTGTGATCGACCACCAGAAAGGAAAATTATCAGGAGTGCCCCATCTCCCCTGGTCACCAAGTGGCAAAGCTTCTGATTTATCATAATTTATTTTGTACCCTGAAAAAAGGCCAAACTGATTAATAGTGGATATTAATGCAGGGATAGATGTTTCTAGCTTAGTGACAAACAATAACATGTCGTCTGCAAAAAGCGAGATTCTGCATTCAGTATCTCCCAAGGTTACTTCAGAGATCCCAGAATGGGTTCTTATAGCTTCTGCCAATGGCTCCAAAGCGAGTGCAAACAATAAAGGGGAGAGGGGACATCCCTGGCGCGTCCCTCTACTCAAAGGAAAAATATCAGAAGCAGAACCATTTACCAAGACCCTTGCAGCTGGAGCCCCATATAACAGTTTGACCCACTTGGCAAATTCAGATCCCAAACCAAACCTTTCCAAAACATCGAATAGATACTCCCACTCCACACGATCGAATGCTTTCTCGGCATCCAATGAAATGGCAAGAGCCCTGCAGTTAGTGTTCTGAGAAAACTGTACAATATTTATAAGTCGACGTACGTTGGAGTGGGAGTATCTATTTTTGACAAAACCTGTCTGGTCAGGCTTTACTAGAACTGGCAGAACCTCCTCCAATCTCCTAGACAGTATTTTTGACAAAATTTTGCAATCTACACCAAGCAAACTTATAGGTCTATATGATGTACATAGATCGGCTGGCCTATCCTTCTTCAATATCAGAGATATGATGGCAAGGTTGAGGGTAGGTGGGAGCACGCCCTTCTCAAATGATTCCATATACATATTTAACAAGGGATTTGCAAAGTGTTTAGCCATTTTTTTTATAAAACTCCGGCCCAAACCCATCAGGGCCTGGAGCTTTTCCACCCTGTAAAGATTTGATAGCTTCTAAGACTTCCTGTGTCCTAATAGGTCTACACTGATCTAATTGTCTCTCTTCCGACAGTGTAGGGAGGTTAATGTTATCAAAAAAGTCTCTCCTAGAATCTGCAGAATCTTGACTCTCAGACGAATATAGTTCCTGATAGAACTCTTTCATTATTTTCAAAATTAATTAAGATTTAATACAAAAAGTTGCATAAATAAAACTTAAGCAACGTATAATGATAACTTTAATTATTTGTGAATTAGTATATGTAGGAAAAGCTCTTTGGGCAGAAAAAGCATTGTATATTTTCATTTGAAATTCCTTTCAGAAACTAGTAGTAGAAAAAAAATTCAATTGGCTGTTTGATTTTTATTTCTTAAATATAAAGAGCTCTTCTGTCTCTGAGTGAAAAAAGAATAAGTAAAATGTTAAAAATGATTTAAGTTTCACTTCCTATTTCCACCAACAAAAAATAAAATTACTTTTCAAACAAAAAGGGAAAAAGGCAATCTTTTTAATTTGCATTCAAAGACCTCATGTGGTCACTTATCTCACAAGAGCCCAAAATTTGATATATTGCTGTAGTTGTTGCAGCAGCTAAGAATAAAATGTGCTTAGAACCTTCTTACCCAGTTATGATTTTAAACATGGTTTAACAATGTTTCAAAGAGTTAAGCAGAGGCAGTTAGTAATTTGAATGCTAGATGTATTGAGTTCCAGAGTCAGGGACGTTAGGTGCCTTTGGTGGTAAAGCAAGGGGGAGAGTGCAGCAGGATGAGCTACAGGGGAGGGAAGAATCTGCATGTGGAGAAATATATATTAATATAGTTCAAAGTATAGTTTTAAACAGGTAAAACACAGAGAACAGAATTAAATAAAGCATTGTTTTTATTTGCAAGAAAATGACTAATACGAGGGGCATTCAATAAGTAATGCCCTTGACCCACTTTCAGTTGTTTGATATAGCTTTAATTTTGCATGTTAATTTAATTATATCTCTATAGATACGTGATAGATGTAAAATGTCTTATAAGGTCATATGATGGGGCATCATCAAATTAAGTTACTTTCATTTTATCAAAAGTCTCCCATGGTGTAAGTCATTTCAAATACAAAAACTGGATAACTGCTCAACACTCAACAGGATCCATTTAAATCAGAAACCACGTTTAGCTCAGAGCTGTAATTTGCTACTAAATCTATAGAGATATAAATAATTGCACAGGAAAATTTTTAGCTAGATCAAACAACTGGAAGGGGTTCAGGGGCATTACTTATTGAAGGCTCCTCGTAAATATAGGAATTAACAGCTTGATCCTTGATACATATACCATGTACTGTAGGAGTTAAATAATTTTTGGCTGACCAGGTAGAAAGCTGAATGGCCTGTATGCTGCTCTATCAAAATTGGGTCTCAATTTTTTTCTCAATGACTTGAAACTGACCTCTGACAAAATTGCTTCAAATCATATTCATGTGTTAGGATGCTAAAAAAAACCCTGATGTTTTCAGATGCTTTTCAGCCAGTGTGCCTGAGGTCAAGCAAACCTATAATAGAAAATGGACCAAAATTTGTCTCCTGATGTGAAAACTGAGAGACTAAATATAATTACACTGTTTTCTTCAAAAAAACATTCTAAAAAAACTTTGTGTTGGTTTACCAAATAAAATACAGCATACTTTGTGATTGCAGTCTCACTTAATGTATAAAACTCAAGCATAATTTAGGTGTATTTAAATTGCAAAAGAACAAAGTTGTTTCATCAGAACTAATTAAAACGTCCGCACTTTCTGTGTATGTATCATGAAAATACCAGTCAGGAGTCACAGTCAGAAGAAATTATAGAATCCATTCACTTTATCATTTATGAAAATGGCACACATTTTAATGTTTTTACATTTATTTCCCTTCTCTCAGAGAAGAAGGTAAAACTGTTTTTAGGTAAGTTCATTATCAGTATATTCTCTCCCATGAATCTACCTAACTCAGTGAGCCTCCAATGAAAGGCTGGAAAAGTCACAGTTCAACAATTTCCAGTAGTCTTTCCAGTAAATGTTGGTGTCACACAGGAGTCACAGACACATCATCACTCTATAACAAGAGTGAGGAAGAGAAAATTGACCCCAGAGAGTGGGGTTTGAAGGAAAGGGGCTCTGCAGAAAGGTTTACTACAGCTTATAGTAGAAGGATGAAATAT